TATGAGGACAATTGCAAGTTTTGTCGGATTGCTACATTCCCAAGATCCCGGAGTGGTTTAACCCTAACCCATTTGGCCAGGAAATATAGGGCTTTGACCCGCGACGAACGGCGTTCCACCAATGGACTTTTCTAGCTGGTTGTGCTAGGTTAGCCCATAGGAACATGAAAAACAAAGTTTGAGCCAAAGTTATCACAAGATTCCCTTTGGGTTACTCGTGGCGGTAGTTTCCTACTCTAAGTGCAGGCGTAAGTTCTGTCCATGAAGCGGGTCACACTACCGAGCTGTGTATTACCTATTTAAACCCTTCACCACACTTTAGACATGTATTAGGACACAATGCAAGTTTTGGTCGGATTGCTACCCTCCAAAGACCCCGGATGGGCCTAATCCTGACCCATTTGACCAGGAGATCTAGGGCTTTGACCGACGATGAACAACGTTTCACCAATGGACTTTTCTACATGGTTTTGCAATGCTAGCCCATAGGAACGTGAAAAACAAAGTTTGAGCCCAAGTTGTCACAAGATTCCCTCTGGGTTACCCGCGGTGGTAGTTTCTCAAACCTCCGTGAGTTGCAACTCATGCGTAGAAAAATTATTTCTGTAATCCTTGAAACTTGCTGGTGCAAATAGATATAAAATTTGTCTCATTTGGCCAAGGAATGAAAAACATACTAGAAAGTCAAAACAAGAGGGTGTCTTCTGCAAATTTCAAGCAAACATGATTTTAGTTTGTTCAAATTTGTAAGAATAATCTACCAATAGAATCCTTTCAAGTTATGATCAAAATCTATACCTATTCCTACTATTAAAGAGCTGATTGCTTCTTGCTCCCGAATTATCGTCCGTTTCTACATCACACGATTTTCGTCCGTGGTCGTCAGCTGCGTTGAATATTTCCTTGCGTCGCTCGGCTGGGCCTCTAGATGGGCTTTCTGCGTTTGTGGGTCTACCTGGGAGCCCACATAGGTGGTAAAAAGCAGGGACAAAAAAATGTGTTTGGGCCAGGATTTGAACTCACAACCTTACATTCGTGTAAATATTGTTTTACCAGCAGAGCTAGGTGAATCCTTGCTTCAAAAAATGTAATGTTGTCTAATCTACTAAATAGTACCACCTCGCCTTTTTACATCCAGTCCTTCTAACTTATATTGGTCTTCCAATTTTTTAAGGTATCAAGGAGTCATCTCGAGAATCAATAACTTAGGGTAAAAATTGAGTTGCGGCTTTAAAGAGGATTTCAACCGACGTTTCATTGTGCAGCCAGAGAAATAAAGAAGGAAATGATTTGAGAAGGAATTGAGCCAGAATAATAAGGAAAGCAGTCCATCCTAAAGGAGGAATTGAGCCAGAATAATAAGGAAAGCAAGCAGTTCATGCTGAAGGAAAATGAAGAAGGATCCACGCATGTTGAGCATAATATTCCCCCCACAGAAAAATACATAATTTTGTTAGATCTTTTGTAAAGATGTCGGCTTCAAAGAACACTTCTTCCTCGTGTTAGGGATATTTGACTACACTTTTTTAGAAACAATAATAATTGCATTACGGAGTGTCAGAGTGCAATTTTTATCATGTTGTAACACACGACATAGATGTAATTTTTATCATGTTGTAACACACGACATAGATGTAATTTTTAATATTTCTGAATTCTGATGTTCTTTATATTACCATGATATTTGATAAATAGATCGAAAGTTTTCCAAGAAAAACATTGTCAATCAGATGAGTTTACTCTGAATCATACCCCATATCCTACGCTCTACGTCGTGGTCCTCAAATTATGTCCGATACGCCGATAAATTATATATCCGCTCTTTCCTTTTTCTTCTTGTCACAGACCTGAAATCCCCTCTTTCCATCCTTATTTTCTTCTCTTTTCCTTTCTTATCGGACAACCTATTGTTTCCTTGTTGATTCCCAAAACTGCTCCTTGATACCCAGAAAACTCGAAGATCTTTTTAAATTACGAAGTTTGGATTGAAGGGAGCGATGTGGGACTATTATACCACAAAACGGGAGCTAGCTTAGTTGGTCGAATCATGACTTGTCGGGCATGAGTTTGCCGAAAAATACCAGTTCTTATGAACCACGATTTGCTAGGTAAGGAACTATGTCAAGGGAGAATGGTCGCTGATGCAAAAAAGATGCATAATTTGAGGAAAGAAGATGGATTTCGCTCTTGAAGAATCAGCCGGGCGGTCGAGAGGGACAGGACGTGATGCGCATAGGTGAGTCTGAAGCATGCATGCATGCCTGCTTGGTCAGATGTGCTCGCTATGACTATCATTCTTCTCCGCTCTCACCAAAGTTTTTAATTAGAAGCCAAAATGAGATATCCTTTTAGTTCTTACAAAAACACCTCTAATTTTAATATTTTTCCTCTGAAAAAACGATCCGTCTGCAACTCGGAGTAGACTAAATATTCTTTTCACGTTTGGCTTCGATCTAGAAATGCCGCCCGCTTTCAAACTGATGAAATTTAGCTTTCTTTGAAATATGAAAACTTTGTGTTGATGCTTTTCTTTACAAAAAAGTTTGCATTACTCTTGTGATGCCTATTAGTAAGCTTGTGAATTTCTTAAAGTGTCCACTAATATAAAAACAAGACATATTCGAGTAATCTTCACTATCCCGATGCCTAAACAATAATTAATGGTGTATGAAGCATCGTACTAGGTTTGACCGATGATGTCAAGTTGCATGGCATAGAATCTATTCAGGCCGTTGCATCATTAGTGACAATAAATAATGTTATTTATTCCTATTATACTTTTATAAATTTCCTTATGGACTAATAATCTGAATTTGTGTTATTCACACAGATCAATTGACTCGGGATCATCTTTCATGTTCTGAAATACCGTCTTAAATAACCCTACTATCAATCAGGTCCATTATTATTGTCATGAACAACATGTGTCCCGCGACCTAGTTTATCGATCTAGCCACCCTGATTCATAGTAAAGCACATGTCCCCGAGCCTGATTCACGTCCCTTGAAGTCTCCCATTGCAACGCATGGACATATGTGCTAGTTTATATAATTTGTCAAAACCCATGCAAGTATGAACTACTGGTGATTTTGACAAAGTATAAGGACCTATTTGCAAAAGCGCATGAGGTTGCATTTTTAATATATTAAAAAACATAACGAAAGTGGATATTATTAATCTATGAAAAATTCTATCCCAAATTGATACATAATTTGTATATGTTAAGGTTAGATAAGTCATATTTAAATTAAAAGATAAAAAACAAAAAAAGGATTTATTTTTTCTAAAATAAAATAGGATAAAAACTATGCCGCCGGCCCCCGCCAGGGCCGTCGGCATACATATGACAACGTCAGCCGTCCGTCTGCCGACGGCCATAGATATGTCGCGGTCTTCCTCGCTGTAGTGAATATATGTCGACGACCAGTTTCTTTGCCGACAGCTGCCGTCAACATATCTCCAGCTTTGCCAATGGCCCGACTTTATCGACGGTTTTATGTCGGCTTAGCCCGAGGTATGCCGACGACCCTGATAAAAAGTCGTCGACATACCTTTTGTCGTCGGCATATTGTCCCATGCCCGTAGTCTCACTAGTAGAAAAAGGCCCATTTGTCCCGGTTCGGAAACCAGGACTAAAGGTTCCGTACTAAAGCCCAATACCTTTAGTCCCGGTTCTTATAGGAATCCGGACAGATGGGGCTCCACGTGGCCGTTGCGGCCCACGCGCCAGCTATTCAGGGGCTGGGTTTTTTTAAGGGGGGTGTTTGGGGGTTTTGGGGGTATTGTAGGGTTTATGTAGGGGTTTCATATATTGTGTTAGCTAGCTAATAGAGAGAAGTGTCCTCTCTTATCTCCGTGCATGGTCGACGCTACGTACTATGCGTATAGAGAGGACTCGACACGCTACTTAGTAAGCAAATGAAGGAAACCATTAAGTACAGAAGATCGTCATGAACATATCTAGAGAGAAGTGA